GGTCCTGAAAGCCCGTGTGGTGTGGGGGGGGGGGGTGTACATATATATACAGTTGAAATATCGAGATATCTATGTATGATGCGTCCAATTCTAAAATTCAGCAGTAAAACGGTATACATACTACTGTATATATAATATATTTTGCATTTTGTGTTTCTTTCTGAAATTTAAGTTCGGTGCAACAAGTTTCGCGTTCACTGACACGGGTATCGACGCCGCGACGAAGAGCGACGATGGAGACGGTGAGAGAGGACATCGACGGTTGCCGGCGGCGCCGAGGTTGCGCGGCCACTCGACGCCGGGACGTCATCGTCGAAGGACGCATGAATATGTATACTGTAGTCGCGATCGTAGCCGATTGAATTTCAACGCAAAGGCGATTCGACCGCGATTCGTTCGCACGTAATATGGCAGTCGCAAGATATGCCGCGAAATTAATGCCGATCGCGATCATCAATGATAGCAGCATAGTGTCAGTGAACTTCAATGAACTTTAGGCCATCTTACTTGGCGGATACTTTATTTTCACAGTGTCGATTAACCAAATCACAAGTGAGTGTAAGAAATTTATAATATTTATTTATTAAACAAAAAATTTTTTAATATATTTGTATTTAATATTTAATTAATTTTACTTGATTTCTTTTTCTAATTCTTAATAATTATCTTTTCGCAAAAATTAAAATATAAATACAATTTTTTAGCTGTTACAAAAATGCTGTTATACATATAATTTTAAAGTAATTTTTATTGATCAAAATAATTATCATTTGCTTTGTGATATGTTTCTTCCATCTTGAAGATGTTTTCCTTAATGGTATGGGGAATGCACAGCCTTCTCTAATGAATGTTTACATAAATTCAAATAATGATTTTCATATGATTTTGAAATGATTTCAATTATTGTTAAAAGATAGAGTTTAAGATTATTAAAAATTGTCTAGAAGAAGAAAAAAAAAGTTTTCTCGAAAGTGAGAGAAAAGGTGATACTCATGAGAATTCTCCCTTGTGTATAAATTAGATTAAGCAAAATAATTTTATGTCACGGAAAGATGATAAATTTCTTATTTCGCTTTAATAAATAACTTTTTTTTAACTATAATAGATATTGTTTTTGTTTGTTTTTCTATGTGGTGATGTTTGCTTTGCTTCTTGAAGACTCAACTGATGCTACATCGTAAGTTTTAACAAGTATGATTCGAATATCTTTTTGACTGTAACTTCAGTTTTGATACAATTCAAATAACAAGATAGACGATAAGAGCTTGTTAAAGTATCTTAAATTCATATTTCAAAAAAAATTGAGATTGTGTATATATATGCAAATTATATATATGAAACAGGATCGTATAAAAGTATAAAAATATTTATCACAAGGGAATTAAACTATATAAGTAAAAGTAATATATAATTAGTAATATAAATAACTATATATAACTATAAATAAAGTAATATAAATAACTATAAAAGTAAATGGAAATAAAAAAATTAATTACATAATAAATATTTTTATACTTTTAAAAATAAAACCAAACAATATGTTGCAAAAGGTTTTGCAATATGTTAACTTTATTATAAAATGTAAAAATTATTATTTACTAATATTCTCCAGTAAAACCAGAAAGATATAACTTTCTTCCCCTCCTTATATAAATTAAAATCTTTCTTGAGTTACATAAACTGAGATTTGAAATGAGAGTATATTACTGCCATAGTTTTGTCTGAACGTTGTTGTCTGCCAGTTAAATTTATTACTTTTGTTAGTTGAAATGACAGAATAGTTGCTAAATAACAGAGAAAACGAGATGAGAAACGAGCGCATAAATCAGCGCAAAAAGCAGTCGGCACTATTTTGTATTCAAGAGAGGTGTGGTCACGCACCTGTGTCTTGCGCATACTGGGACTAATGATAGATAGTTAGTCACGAAACTCTTGCGGAATTCGATGATTCAAAAAATATAAGCATACGATTTAGATTCAAAAAATGGATGTAACGTTATTGTATAATAAAATTTTCTAGTTTTTTTATTTTTTATAAATATTTATTGTGATATAAAGAATTGCAAAAACTAAAGCCAGTGATAGATTTTGGCATTTTGAGGCGTCTCTAAACAATCAATCAATTTAATTTAGAGGTCTTTTGCAATAAATGAGGTCCTAGGTCCTAGTCGCGCGTTTATTGGAAAATTCGCCTAATTCACATTCAGGATTACAAAAATGCAATATGAAATTATTGCTCTATCCATGTTCTCGCTCGTATGTACAATAAAGAAAAGTTTCGATTTGAGAATCAAATATTAGGTATTCAATTATACATAAATCATTCATTAAGGGGTAAAATTATGAGACGACAAAATACATATATTATACATAGGTCGAGCTGCTGATCAATGGATCTGCAGTGGGAGCTGCAGTTGTGAAATAAAAACGACTGATCGATCGGGAATCCTCAGTTATCACGCAACACATTATATATTGTCTGATTACTTAAATAATATTCTTAAAGTGGCGATTCGTGTTTCCATATTCAGAACCTTGAAATTTTAAAAGACACGTGCGCTCCACATCTGCTTGCGATACAATCATTTTCCGAGTAATTATATTATACAAGTATGCTAGGAATGGAAAAGCAAAAGTCTTTCATTTTTATAATAATTTGCGTCGCCTGTCAATGATCCGATATCTGTTCATTTTAGATCTCTTTAATTCATCATATATTTGTTTTTAATTTTTAGCATTATAATACATTTCTCATCGTATTGCAAACACGACAGGTTTACAGAATTCATCAATTCACTAAGCAAACTTCTTTCTATCCAACACGAATCTGAATCCTTTTCTGCAATTGCAAGAGCACAGGCCAAGTAAGAACGTGTAAAAGTGGCGGCGGCCTCACCTTGCGGATGATCGAGATTGAAAATCAGTCAGGTTCGCGTGCCGATAGACTGGGGCAGAACGAAGGCGGTAACGGGGGTGACGGTAACGGTGGTAACAACGGGGTTGATGATACAGTCACCGTAACAAAGTTGAAGGACGTAGGTGAGAAATCATCTTACAAGATCGCTCTCAAGATCATGTCATACTATGTATGTGCAGGGGGGAGAGGCAGAATTGATGGTTTGACAATTAAGAGTTTGCAGACTAAACTTATTTAAATCCAAATATAACTTGTTGGTTTAAATTTATGTTATTTTTTTCAAGTAGGATCTTTTCCCGTTTATATATATAGTTATTGCAACGCGTCAAAAAATTGTATATACTGTATATTATACAATACATATAAGCTCGCGTGTGCGCGCATGTGTATTTTCAGTATTAAAAATATTCTTAGAATTTTTCGATTAAAACACCAGTTAAGATATCGATCTAAACTTTTCTCCCTTGTATGCAGATATAAATATTTTATATATATAATGATCTTTTTCGTCATTTTTTAAAAGAATCTTTTGAAGAGAAATTTTGATATTGATCGATTGCTATTTCGAAATATCATTTGATAATTTTGTCATATGATGAAAAAACGATTTATTAAATACATTGTTCTAAAAAGATTGAATATTTGTTGAGATATGTTAATGCATCATTTCTTTTAAACGCCTTATTTTGGTTATAGCATTTAAAGAGAATCTTTTCCTGAACGTTCAATAAATTAATCTATCTATTTATCCTATTTAGATTTCTAATAAATTTATTTTTATATTCACAAAATATAGTTCTGTTCTTTCGAAAATTATGCAGTTATTGTATCGAAAAAATTGTTTTATATTTTATTTTCATTTCTTTATGAGAAATCATTTCTCTTTCACTCTCTATCTTCCTCTTAATAATTGCATCGCCATTTATTGTACTCTCTATTCATAGTTGAATCTCCGTATTCATAATTCATTGAGCAAATTTTTTATTTTTTATTTTTCTCTCAATTTCCGCTCTTTTGACATATGTGTAGAATAAAAATGTTTTTACGAGTGCAATCATATTTATTCATATTTCTTAATTTAAATAATGATTTTTATTTTATAATAAAGAACCGATAAAGTAGTAGCGTGATAAAAAAAAAAAAAAAAAAAAAAAAAGTTTGGCTATAATTAATTTCAAACAACTCTAACTCTTTCATTCAGGTTCGATGAGAAAAGAAGAGCAAGAAAAACCGCGAACTCGCGAAAACTCGCCAAAGAACGGCGCCGCCGCGAGCGTCGCGACGCCCACAGCAGTGTCAGCGATGCCGGTGGAGGATGACGAGGAGGACGAGGAGGAGGAGGAAGAGGAAGAAGACGTTGTAATAGAAGAGGATGAGGAAGGGGATGAAGAAGGTGGTCTCGCAGTGGAGGGTGGAATCGCAGTGGAGGGTGGAATGACGATGCAAGAAGAGATCGGGGGTGTGTCGATTGATGGCGAAGGTGGGGGTGGAGGCGGCATGGCCGGCTTCTGGAGGCAGAGCAGACCCTCCAGTCCCCGCATGCCGCCTCCGGAGCAGTCGGAGCAGTCGAGCCGACCCAAGAGCCGGCACGAGTTACAAGCCGCGAGATACAACAACCTCGGCTACTGGCGAGCGAGAAGAGTCACCTTTTACAAAAATGGCGACCCCTATTTTCCTGGCGTTGAGTTTCGGTAAGAACCATTTTAAC